CTCTAGATTTGTCTCTATTTGTGTATAATTTTGCCCTAATTTCTTTTAGAGAGAAAATATTGGAAGAATATGATCCTTGGCTGATGTTTAACTATTCAAATGCATGGAATTATTCAGCATAAGATTTAAGTGCAAGAGATGATCATTCAAGAGTCCACTATTGAAGATTAAGTTGTTGAGCTAAAGCAAGAAGTGCTACCCATAAGGATTTATGATCCCAAATTTCACTTTAGGCCTTTGAAACCTTGTGAAGTAGGATTATTTCCCATTCTTGATAAAAATTTGGCATGTGAGAAGATCAAGCATAAAATAAAGTTGAAGTCTCAAACACGTGCCTCCTCCTATGCACTTCAAAGAATTCCCTAACATGTTAGTTAAGCTAGATAAGGTTTGTCCCTAACACAAAAGGAAAATAATTATTATTAAGAAGCCCTTACAAATCACTTAACTTTCTAAACATGAACTTATTCAACATAAGGAGTATACCTCATAATGACATCAATTTAAAATAAGTAGCAAGAAGATGATTTTGATGAATTTGATCCACGATACTATTGGAAACAACACTTGTGGGAATGCTCCAAAGGTGTCTCATTTAGTGGTATATCCATATATGATAAATCCTAAGTGAAAACCCTTGTTGGACCATCCAAGGTCACTTTAGTTAGGATGATACTCTTGGATGACACTTTGGTGGCACTAGCATCGAAACCAACATTTCCATCACAAAATGTATATGTTGAAGATGAAGTCATACCACTTTCAATGGTTAAGCAACTAGTGGAGCAAGTTAAAAAACCTTTCTTGTGTTCCCAAGTCACTTTTATAGTTCCTTGGTTATTCACTTTAATTGAGGATGTTCCTTTGATGCTTCATGCTCTTCTTCCAAATTCCTCAACTAAGCCTCCAAGTGCTTTAACATTCTATGTGTTATGTGCATTTCCTCTATGCTTAAAGATGATGATAATGATGTTGTTTTAGTGGACCCTACAACCAAAAGGTTCTTACATAGAAAAGTTGGAATATTAGATAATTTGCTTCTACATTTCATCTACGATCACTAACAACAATCTTTTTACCTTTACCCTTACCTTCTAGAACCCATCCTACTCAAGTTTCACCACTCCACTGAAAAAATAAAACCATGCTTTGACAATAGTCATAAAAAGTTTTTCTAAATATTTTTTTTAAGATAGTGATAGCCTTCTAACTTTTGTTTCGATGGCATAAGGGGAAGTATATGAAAAATTTTATTTTTTATCAAAAAATATTATCATTGGATGACATTAGTATTGTACAAGCTTTTGCTACGATATGTGTGTGTGTGTGTCTTTATGTACGTATAGTGTGTGTGTGTCTGTGTGTGTTACAATGACATATTATGTTCTACCATTGTATTACTTAGATATATCTATCTATCTATATAAGACATGTTTTGATATAATGATATATTGTATAATTTGTTTACATGTTATGATCTTACATGATTACTATGATGAAAATAGTTGAGTATTCTTTGATGTATGCTCTTATATATGCATATACTTTGATAAGATTGTTTATGACTAGCACATAACCATGAAAATTGTTTCTCAAAAATAGAGTCCAATACTATGAAAGTTATATATCTTTTAAAACCATATGGATAAAAATGTTTTTGAAAATCTCTTAAGCATTCATTTATATTTCTTTGAAAAATATATATCCTTTTAAAATTGATAAAAATAAAAATTTAATATTTATCATCATCAAAAATTAAAAAAATTGTTGTAACCAACCATATCTCACATCAGAAGCATGAGTGAAATGTACTTCACTCCCTTTTTGTTATTGTATATTGTTTTGTTGGACCAAACGTGTTGATGATCAAGCTTAGGCCTTGTGGGTATCTTTTGGGTTTTGCTTTGATAGGAATGTGACATTAGAGCTTTTTTGGGTTTATTTTATTTTGCTTAGGAACCTTTTAGAAGTTTTTCTAAATATTTTTTTTAAGATAGTGCGGACAATATCCTCATGCGGGTTGCTTGGGCTGTTACAGAATTCACAATACTATCAATGTCTTCTATTTCATAAGATCTCAGAATTTGTAATTGTCTTTATTTTATTCAGAGTTCTTGTATAGTACTTACACATTCTAGTGTTTCAAATAGCTAAAAATTTGACCAGGTGGTAGGAAAGTAACATAGTAATTCATCAAAGATGAGAGGCAGAAGTTTCTCACCTGTAAACAGTTTATAAGCTGTGGCCTGTGGGGTACATTTCCTTTCTCTCATACCCAAAATACATCATATATTTAATTATGCGAATAATATTGAAACTTAACTAGCATTAAAAAATAAGCTGCTAAAGATAAACACAGCTAAATACTTACTGTTCTAAGAAATCCAATTGAAGACATTCACACCATGTTGGCGTGGGCACTGTAGTCATGCACCACCATATATATTCATGGTCTCATTAATCTCTATATGACACAATTAAGATATTATAATTTATAAAAAAAAATTAATGACACTTAATAATAATATGTAATATAAAAATTAATCAGAATTATAATAATCTCAAATTATCTAAAAATTTTTTGACAATTATTAAATCAGCCACCCCAATAATTATGAATAATAATTTTCATTAATTTTAGAATATCAAACTAAAATTTGGAGAGAAATCTTTGTCAATAAAATTTGTTGTTTACATCCTAAAATTACAACATTGTTTATCTATACTGTATTTGAATATTAGTACTATGAGGACATGTTGTAGACCTCTCAAAGTCAATGTAGATGAACATAACATTATAGAAGCCAACGACATGCCCTCATTGTATTAATATTCAAACATACAGAATGCTAAAAAGGGTGTTGAAAACAATCATTTAAGGTTACATTCAACACCACTAATATATCATACACTTGAATCTTTTCCACTATGGAAAACCTTTTCTTGTCGACCCCTATCATCTCTGATGTGTGTATATCTGTGTTAGGCATTAGGAGAATACGTAGAAAACTTTCTAGAACATGCCACATCAAAGAGTATGAGTGCAATTGATTAATATAGATAAAATAAACTAGACAAGTTAATGCCGCTAGAAGAAAAAAAAGTGATGAAATATTCATGAAAACTAGAATGAAAATCTACCAAGAAATTAATAAATGGATGCATGTGCAATTGGCTATGATGAACGTGAAGACTATATATATAACTTCACATGAAACAATGAAATGGTTTTATTGGTCTGCATTGTTGGGTTCGTATGGGAAGAATATATATACACAGACTATAGATTCTTGGTGCACTAACATGAAGGGAAGCGTTAATCTTAAGCAGAATAATAACATTAATTAGGTGGAATCTAATTCTCTAACATACATTTTCCCACAAATCTTCTCTGTAATTTGTTGAATGATTCTGATAGTGGTGTTGCTTTTTTACCTTTGTTCGATTCTTCGAAGTGAGTCAAGAACTTTCAGGATATATATAGTGCGGTTCGCTTTGTCACACATTATTACTAAAAATAAATTAAACATGTTGAGTGATTGGTGTAAATTCAATTCTTTTATATTTAGTACGTGTGGGTGTTTTTAACAGTATAGAAACATGAGATGGAGGTGTAAATAAATCATATGATATTTAATTACTAAAATGGAAAATAATAAAATCATGCATAAATAGCAATAACAAGTAAATAGATTAAAATATTTTTCTCATGTTATAAAACAATTAATATAATATTTACTCTTCTCTTTTTTCCTACAGAACATACACAATTACAGTTTATGAGAAATGTTAATGTTAATGAATTTACCTTACTTTGCATTTAAAAAACCTTAATTTATAACGATATATATAGAAAATAACTTTCTTTCGTTTCAAGAAATTAAAAATTAATTTATGCTTATTTAATCAGAGAATTGATTCCTTCACTATAATCAGCTTAAGTGAAAATCTACTTCAAAGAACTCTTTCTTTTTATCTTTAATATTAAAAACTAATCTATGCTTCTTTATTTTGTCTCTAGCAAAACTCGATTATTCTGCTTAACTATAATTTTAAACCCTCGAGTCAGCCTTAAATAAGTTTGAAATGTTTTACATAAAAATCCTAAGTCTTTGCCTCTTGTCTTCGGCTTCCTGTATTTTTTTTTATTTTTTTACAAAAAAATTTAGATTAAGGCAAGATTTGAAGTTATATAAGGTCAAAACCAACCACTAATCTCCTTAAATGAATTTAGAATCTTTTGGCATCTCAAACTATTTAACACATATTTGATTAATCAAAAAAATATTTATGCTAACTCTCTAACAGAGCAATTTAAAAAATTGACTGTTAGGAAGAAAATAGTTACATCATTACTGTAAAATATTCTAGCTACCATCAGAGAGTTATAAGAAGCAACAAAGAAGATAGAGATAACATCCGTATTTTTTATTGTTGTCTCTAAAGATTAAAGGGATACAAATTTATATGTTAATAACTACTAAAAATGATCTTATAAATGTCATGAAATATTAAATAATATTAAAATTAAATATAATAATATTCTAATATTTTAAGACTATCTTACGAAGTCTTTATACTATTTAATTTTTGCCCATCCTACAATGACTATTTTTCCAAATTTAATCTTTATTGAACATGTACTTACTATAAAAGAATTTTAGCACGTTAAGGGCATAATACATTCAGTGAGTGTTCAGGTTGTAATAGAACCAAAGAGAATTGGAGTTGCCACTCCTCTGGCCAGTTCAGGAAATAAGAAGCAAAACTATATACATCTCACAACTCACCACCATAGAATTTTCAGCCACTGATAGGGGCAGTGAGAAAACAAAAGGGGAAGGGGTTACACAGGTTCATAATCTTGATATCTAATACCATGACAACTGATGGAAAAAAAAAAAAAAAAAAAAAAAAAGAAGAAATTTTCAGCAGATAAACTTGATATCTCAAAACTGGAGTATCACTTTATCTAATAACTTTCATGATCGAAAAAACAATTTTCAGAACAGTTCAAGTCTTCATTGCATTGCATATATCAAAATGGCTATAAAATAATACATTGCATAGATAATAGGTGTGTGCTTCCTTAGAGGCATTCCTCTCACAAAGCTTCAAGAGAAAAAAATAAGAAGGAAAAATGAAATACTAAAACTAACTTATATACAAGTTAATTTGTAATTTTTTTGGAGAAATTATATGAAAGAACTTCTACAAATTAACTCATGCATAAATTAATTTTATTTAATGAAAAAACTTATTTTCTTTTTCCTTCCTAATTTTTCTTTCTAAAAGTGTTTCCAAAGAAATTTATCAAAACAGACCTTAGTTTCTACACTAGCTTATCTGGTGGTGACTAGTGGCAAAGTCTCTTAAAACAAGCTCCACCTCTTCCACCACCCCTAGCTTTCGGAACCACTTCGCTAGTACTCCAGAAGCTTCTTCCCCAACCATAATGCCATCTCTCTCCAAATCTATTAGAAATTCCAATGCTGAATTTATCTTGCCCTCATTCTCATAAGCAACCAATACAGAAGCAATGCATTTATCAGTAGGCTTGATACCTACTCTTCTCATATTTTCAAATGCAGTGAGAGCCTCCTGACTCTGCCCAGCCATAGCATAAGCATTAACAACCAAACTACACATCTTATCATCTGGGGTGATACCAGTCAGCTGAATTGCATCAAACACCCTCTGTGCACCTTCAGCATTACCAATCATAGAGAAGGCTCTAAGCAGTGCTTTGTAAACCTCGCTTCCTGCGCATATTTCTCGTGCCTCCATTTCATGAAGTAAATTCTCTCCTTCTTCAGGCATTCCAGCTCTGATGTAGGCCATGATCATTGAGCCATATGATCTTTTATCCAAAGGCTCGCCGAGCAATTTGATCTCTTCAAAGTACTCCTTGGCCCTGTCATGATGGCCAGCCTTGCTGTACATGTGAACCATGGTAGTCAGAATTACTTGATCACAGAAGAAGCCCCTTTGCTTCATGAGTGTGAGAAAATTTTCAGCATCTTCCAGAAGATTGTGCTTGCCATAATAATGGATTATCTTTGTGTAGTCACGAATACTGGCTTCAAAGGATTCTTCTAGAAGGGCATGTTTTGCCACCTACAAATGTGAACAAATCCATAGATTAATTTCAGACTGTAACAAATAAAAGAAATAGAATGTTTCACTCAGAATGCAAACAACGTAAGTTGCATAGATTCAGGTAACCAAATTACCACCTACCATGAAAAATATTTGATTAAAGATTTGTTTGGATAAATTTCTTAAGAAGCACTTATAGGAGAAAAGAATAAGAAAAAATATCAAAATAAACTTTTCTATAAACTAAAACTAATTTATATGCAAGTTAAAAACAAAATTTTAGAGAAGTTAATAGAAGAAGAAAAAATTCTAGAAATTAGTTTATGCATAAGCTAATTTTAGTTATGAAAAAATTTATCTTATTTTTTCTTTAAATTTATATCTCCCAGAAGTGTATTTGGAGAAATTTATCTAAATAAACCTCAATCTTGCATCTTTGTATGAGACTTCACATTTGAAACCAACAAAATCATTGGGGTAAATACAACACTACCATATACTATTTGGATTAGTTTGCATAGGTTCAAACCTCATAAGCCACAGCCACTATTGTATCAGGCAAACAGAAAATGTGAAATACCTCAAGGTAAACAGGATGACCCGTTGTTCTCAACTCTTTCAAAACTGAAAGCCAGTCTGCTCTAGTAGGCTTCATTATCCTCACCCATGATTCCAAAAGATCATATATGCTCCCCTTTTCAGCAGAAAAACATATAATCTGTCTCATCAAGGCTTTGCATCGATTCGCCATCCTGAAAGGAAGTTCAGATATGGCCTGCTTTTGTTCTTTTGTGATATCATTGCCAACCTCAATCCACCTAAACCCTCTTTCATTTTCCTCTTTCACTTCTTTAACAAATTCTTCAATACCAACACTGACTAGTACTGAATCAAAACGGTGTTCGCCGAAACCAAAATAAACTGGTTTTTTGGTAGCATCATTGGTTATTGAGTATTTCGGGTAGTAAAAGTTGCACAGTTTGGTATAGCAATAGGTGCCCATCATTGATAAAAAAACATAAGAAGTTGAAGTATCTAAGACATAAATCAGAAGAATCAATCACAACAAGCAAGCATGAAAGTAAATTACCGATTCGCGGTTCTGTCACAAAAGAAGCTCGAAAACCTCGTACTGCTGGAGTTGAAACGAACGAAAACCAATAGAAAAACCAAATGTTGTTTCACTCCCTCGTGCACTCGAATTGGAGCATCCTCAAAGTGAAATTGGGCAGTGGTTACTCTTATCGTTGGAACTAGATATACGAAAAGACATAGTTGCCCTCAACAAAATCTAATTGAAGAGGGCAAATAAGTAAATTCGCATACACGCTCGAAGCCTATCGCGGAACGGAACCGTAATCTTCTTCACTCCAACACTGTCTCACTTGCTGGCATTAGCATAACATGATTTAGATCCCGAAAACGTGACTCGCTCTCATCGCAACTCACCGAGTCAACTCGCCGCCATTGTTGGTGGAGCAAGATCCTAGGCGTGTCACTGAGACGCGACTCGTCCTTAACTCGGGAATGGCTTCTTCGGAAGCCGATTCCCGTCTGAAGCAGGTGCTCGTTCCCGCGCTCGAGAAAATCATCAAGAACGCGTCGTGGCGAAAACACGCGAAGCTCGCGCATGAGTGCAAGTCCGTCATCGAAACCCTGACCTCGTCGCCGAAGCCGCAGTCGCCGGCGGCC